AGAGTAGCCATTTTGGCTCAAGTGGTTCAAGGGGGGACTGGCCGCACTGCCCGCTCCTCTTGTTCTCTTCTTTCCTTTTTCTGCTACTCAGGCCGGTCCCGCTCTCAACCCGGCCGCCTGTCAGGGATCGTCTCGCTCCCTCCCTGACGCCATTGCCGGACTACCTCACGGCAATCCTCACTGCTCTTCATCGTGCGGGTCCGGGGGGACGACATAGTCGGGACTGTACCACGACAATATCCCTCTCCGAGGCGTGCGGGAGAGGCTGTCCACAACTACAGGTTCGGCCTGGCGAGCCTTTGCACTGAGGGGGACCTTGGTGCGATCCTGCATTACCGCATCGGGAGATACAGTACCGGTACGGTGTGCAACGTGACACTATCCCGACGGCATCGAGAATGAATTCTTCCTCGGGGGCAGGGGGACAGAACAACATGGAGACGGACCGCAACCAGGAGCTCGCGGCAAGCCCCAAGAAGAGGGGAGCACCCGAACAAGAGCCCATCAGCCTGGACGCTATCAGGGAAGTCGTGCGAGGGGAGATTGGGGTCAGCACCGCTACCCTACGTACAGAGATTGGGGCCCGAATGGACCGTGTGGAGACAGGGGTCACCGCGCAGCTGGAGAGGACACTGGAGAGGCTGCAAGCCATTACCGCGCAACAACAGGACCAGCAGCAAACAGTCGAAGCTTTGCCCTCGACCAGCAGCAGCCCGGGGGGACACCCCCGCAGCCAGCAAGCAGCAGCGGGGACCCCCCCCCAGATAGCAAGGCCGCGGCGGAAGCAAAGGCCAAATACCAACGCGACAAGGCCAAGTTTGCGGAACTACTCAACCTCCACAACCTGCCACGACAACCACCACCAACGGGGGGGACCCCACACCAGCAAGCAAGCAGCAGCGACGAGCCAGCGCCGGGCAGCAAGGCAGACACAGACGCGAAAGCGCGGCACAAAGACCGAATGGAGCAGCTGCAGAGGAGAGCCGCAGGGGCCGGGGCCGACAGGGGACCGGCAGAGGGGCAGGGGGCCAGCGCTCCAGAGGACAGCACACCGGCAGCAGCAAGCCCACACCCTGACACACAACCACAACCAGAGGCGGCCACAGCAGAGGAGGAGCCCACACAGCAGCAGCACAGACCCGCGGTGCACATCCACACCGGGATGCCGCCTCCAGTGCCATTCCCCTTGGACTCAACGTGACATGGACCACGCCGGCCAACTACTACATGGCCTCTATGGGGGGATACCTCCCCCCGAACCCCATGCCACCCGCGATTCCCATCACCATGGAGTCCTACGCCCATTTCCGCTACCTAGGACATGGGGGGTGGGCTTTTTGCGTGCTCTCAAGAACATCGCCGGCCACACCAAGTTACCAAAGAGTCCGGATGAGAGGCTTCGCTAGAGTGAGGCAGCAGGGGAGAAGACCCAATGATGGGCCACTCTTATCCATGGGGGCTCAAGGCGAGGTACACCCCCTGCGGGGGGGAGGCACGTCCTGGCACTTGTTCCTGCGAGCATACCCGCGTGAACGGGAACCCGACGCGGCAGCCTTCAGCACAGGCCACTTCCGGCTTGACTGGGACGATTCGTCCCAGCAAAGCAGCCTCTTACGGCTCGACCCAGACGACGGGGACTTGATCCATAGAACGCGGCGGCTGGCGTACGGCAATCCGCCAAACATGTCCGCACACCTACAAGAGCACGAGCTACAGCAGATGGCAATCGACCCAGTTGATGGGGGGGCAATTTACATGCTGCGAGGCAGGGTCCAATTCCCAGTCGAAGACCCCTACGCTCCACGGGGACACCGAGCCGCAGCACTGCGCGCCAGCCTACAGCCGGGGGGCACGCCCCTGGTGATGCCGGTGGACGAGACAGACGGGGACGAAGCGCTACACCCGTGGGCGGCAGCAGCACGACCAGTTCCCCTTGAGAGCCAACACACAGAGCCGGCAGACAGCGGGGACACACCGACAGCAGAAGCCCCACCACTACCACAACCGCAGGAGGGGACAGCAGCAGAGGCCCAAGGGGGCGAAGGCGCGGAGCCAGAACAGCCGCAGCAGCCCGAACCGCAGGGGGGCAGCAAGGGAGAACCCACCCCCGCAGCCAGCAGTGACCCTGCGGCACCAGAAGAACAGCCCGGCAAGCAGCGGAAGAGGTGAAGCCAGCACGCCACAGCAGACCACCAGGCCCAAGGCACCCCCCCAGCAAGGTACCACGAGCACCAGGGGAACACCCCCGGGCCAGACAGCCAAAGCCACTGCAGTCAAAGCACCGCCACAGCAGCCACCGCACCAGGCGCCCGCAACCGCCAAGCAGCCACCACAACAGCAGGGGGCACAAGCCAGCCGACAGACGCAGGCAGCGCAACAGGCGGTGCAGCCAGACCCGCAGCCGACAACGGGGGGATACTCCTTCTACTCCTCAGCAGCGGTGGCCGCATTTCAGAAGCGCCCACAGCAGACGGAGACAGTGCCACCCCCAGCCACCAAGCGACTCAGAGAGTAGTTGGCCCAGTGAGGACCCCCCACCCGACCACCAGAGCCTCATGCAGACAGGGGGGACACAAACCGGCAGCCGAAGAAGACGAGAGGAGGACAGCCACAGCAGCCCACAGGACAGCGAAGCAGCAATAGCCACGGTCCCTTGGAACCCACCACCCTGTGCAGCCACCGCGCAGCAGCAGCAGCCCAACAGCACCTCCTCTATGGGCGAAGAGGACATGCCGGGGACAACAACAGAGGAAGAGATGTGGAAGGGGATGTTCGTGAGGACGGCGGAGGGAAGCAGACTGCCAACGAGGGAAGAAGAGGAGCGGTACAGACAAGAGCAACAAACAACACCGACTGAGCGGGACAGCCAAGGAGCACCGGCAACCAGCAGCCAGCCAGCTGCACCGCGCACAGCAGACACAGCAGCCGGAAGCGGCGGACCGCCCCCAGACCACACACAAGCAGACCCAACACTGCCAGGAGGGGACAGCGGAACCCGCCGACGCAGCAGCCAGCGCAGCACAGCACCTAGAGGAGGCAACCAACCTAGCCCAACGGCTGCACCTGCCCGACGTCGAGAGACTGCTCAGAGAGGCTAGAGAACTCCTGCCGACAGGGGGACGGCCCAAGCCGAAGGCCACACCGCCAAGCCCCAACCCCTTCCAGGTAGCGGCCTTAGTGGTAGGACTGATGGCGGACCGCGTGGCGCTGGGGGGAAGTCCCCCCGACAACGGGGAACTCCTGGAAGTGCGCGAACTTCTGCAAGCAGGGCAACGACTACTCTTGGGGGGCCGCCGCTCAGCAGACTGGACGAGGACACACCACGCCACGGACGCAGCGGAGGAAGCAGCCGAACAGTTGCAGCGCATGACCCGACAAGGGGGATTGCGCCGGGACCCGGAGGGGGCGCTGGCGACCTTGCAGAACCTCCTGGCTCCTCGGCACCTACCCGCATGCAGGGGACGCAGAAGAGGTCACGCACCCGGCCGATGTCATCGCCATGGCAGAGGGGGGAACATCCCGACGAGTGGCAAATGGGGGGCAACCGCAGCCCCTCCATGTCTACCGGGCAAAAAGGAAGCTACGCCAACTGCAGCCCTTTCTCGCGGGGGACCTTCAGCAAGAAGTCCGAGTTGCACTGCTGCACCTCACGCAGTGGACGACAGAGCACTGGGGGGACGACGTGGAGCTGGTGCAAGACGATGACGACAGCAACCCAGAGGGGGACGACACGGCAGAGGCGGCCAGAACCTCGAAACCTACTACAACCGCAGCCGAGCAGTGGGGAAGTGAGGGGAGTGAGCCGCGCCGCCGTAGGAACTTTGACAGCCCTAGTTCCCTCGACAACGATGACTAGGGGGGAGCCGTCGTGCTAAGGTTTTGGCCGCTTCGGGGTCAGTTGGCTTGTTGCTGGGGGACGTTACTTGTCGAGGGAGCTACACCTGTCACGAACAAGGGGCCCGAGTCCTGTATTGCAGCTAGGGGTAGATCTGCTGACGCTGTTTTGTGAAGTGAGGCCCGCTCGTGGTTAGCCACCTTGTGTCTTTTTCACCTAGCAAACCTGGGGGACAGCAGCCGGGAACCTAGCTAGCTGTAGCTGACACTTGGGGGGCTTCGCTGTTTTCAGTCCTGATCCCCCAGTTGCCAATATGGGGGGAACCCCAGCCAAACGCCACGAAGACCGTGGAACAGCATTAGGGCTATACCTCATGTCGCAAGCCCCCACAGCGAAGCCAGAGGGGCGCGGGGACGAGGCAGGTTGGGGGTGCGTTAGTGTTCGGGGTCGGGGGCTTGCTACACGGGGACCGCCACATGCTGTGTTTTCAGTTTCATCAGTCAGTGGGACCCCAATGCCTACCACTCAATAACACAATGGGTGGTAGGGCGGGCCAAAGGCCTGAGGGTCGGGCCGACCGACCCCTATGCCCTGCAGAAAGAAAGCGAGAGAGAGAGAGAGAGAGAGAGAGAGAGAGAGAGAGAGAGAGAGACATAGAGAGAGAGACAGAGAGTAACTCATTTTGGCTTAAGGTGCCTACAGCGAC